TGGCCGGTGGAGCTGGAAGTGGACGGAAGGCGGTAGGAGAAGAAGCGGTTGTATTTCATGGCGGTTTGTTCGACGAGGGAGATGTTGTTTCGGCCGAGACCGAGCAAACCGGCAGAGCCGTGGAAAAGGCCTTCGTTGTCTTGGCCACAGCCGAAGAGGAAACCTTCAAAAACGTCCTTGGAGGTCAATGTAAGTTTTTCTTTGGCGAAATCCCCGATGGAGAAGGACCCGTCTCCGTACCGGATGCCGTAAAGGCAGGAGGACGAGGCGGAGGAGCAATCGTGTTGGATGCCGGCGGATGAGAGTTGAGTACACGTGGCGGATGTACAGGATAAGTTTTTGTATGAGGCAGAGAGAGAAGGGTCGAAGATGGGCTCGCTCTGTCTGTAACAAGATCGAAGACATGGGCGGCATTGGGTCCAGGTGAGGTCGCTGCCGGTGTCGAAGACGAGGGAGAGTTGCTTGGCGGGCGTGCCGAGACCGACGGTGACTAAGTAGTTTCCTGTGCCCAGAAGGAGACCGGACTTGGCTGGGAGGGTGGTGGAGGCGGCGGATTGGGTGAATGGGTCTTGGATTCTGTAGTTGAGGCGGGAGTGGATTGAGTTGACTCGGGCTTCGTCTTGCTTGAGGATTTGAGCGTGGTATTTGTCATCACTTTTTGTGGTTGAAGTTTTGGATGATTTGTGGAATATAGAGCATGGCCCATGCTTGTGTACCACTTCCAATATTGATGCCTTGTTGTTGGTATGACCTGGTCATTGAAAGGGATGAGCGTATGTATACATGTGACTCTTTATGCATATATTCACAATTATATCCATCTGTGCCTGCCACTAGTTCACGGGTAACAAGACCATGCATGTCATGTGGGTGAGAGAGACACAAAGGTAACAGGTAACGGGGCACGGGGCTCTGTCTCGCCGTGACCTTCTCTTGAATTCTCGTAGTGATTTAGAACAATTATTTTTTTATGAAAAATTCTAGATTCGAGTCATAGCATTTGTGTAGTGTGTATAAGTTTAGTATGCTAAACTTAAAAAAAATAAAAATAGAAAAGTTGATAGAGGTCAAAAAATCCAACTAATACTTGGGTTTAGTCCTTGAATAATTGTTTGTTGATACAAGTCCTTTGACTAGTTTGCCATGTAGATTACATTACATTTTTGACATGCTGACTCAATCTTTTGTATTTAACTGATTTGTATTTAAATTTTTTGTTCCTATTATATCCCTATTGTATAAAACGGGTAAGATGAGGATTTATAGGCTATTAATGATCATATTTGATCATGTAATTAAAGGAATAATTATATTTTGAATGTAAATGTCGAAACATGCTTGATTTGTACAAATTCCTATTTAACGTGGATTTTATTAATGCACATATTGTGCATAAATATGTTAATCCATTGCCACTTATTTTATTGTGTACTCCTTTTATTATTCGTTCATAATACAATTGCCCACTTATATACTATTATTGTTTTCCTTCCCATCTTTTATGTTTGTTTTAGGTTTTAATTTCATTGTTGTGTAGCTTTTTGTAGTATAATGTTTGTTTTCCACTCTATGTACCTAAAGATAATAATGATTAAAATTTTCAATTGTTTCTCACCAATTATCAAGTCGTACTATTTTTTTAGTTTTATAACTTTGCGAAAGGGATTAATAATTCACATGTTGTTTTTTTCCCCATCTCATTGTACTCGTTTATTTCTTCATGAACTATTAATATTATTCTTAAATTTGATAACCCTTGCTCCAGGTACAATACCTTGATTTTTACAAAATATTAGACAATTTAAAAATTATTAAAACATGAAAATAAACATTATAGTCGTTTAACTTATTATCTATCACCTGTCAATTTTGTGTTGCATCCAAAGACAAAAAAGATGAAATCAATATTGTGTGCAGACGTTTCTGATGGTAATCAAGGCGCCATTTCAGCCTCTTGTTACTGTATCCATGGTGGCATGGCATTTTTCAAACTACACCAATCATAAACTTGGAATTTTCCATGCGCCTGTTGCGCATCATCATATGCCATTTCAAAGTCAATAAGTCAAAATATAGTTTCCATATATATAGATGAAATTTGAATTAAATAGGTTTTTAATCTATGAGGAATGATTAAATAGGTTTTTTCCATATTTAAAAGTGGTATTTATATTTATTTGCCATTTTCAACCAATGTCATATCTTGTAAATCTCTCGAATATGGTGGCTACAAGATTTGCATGCTTGGCCATACAATTGATTGGGAGAACTGCAATTGAAGATAGCCTAATTAGTGTTCTATATTCATATTATCTAAATGAAAATGGACTCATATCTAAGAAGCCCAAAAAAAAAAAATTGTATGTTTTTCTATGCATATGAATATTAGAGGGAATTTCACAGTAGATCTATATAATGGCAAACTCTACTCCCATGCGCCATTGGAATTAACAGCGTATATAGCAAGGCCTAACGAAATACTGGATGCCAGACAATATATGAATATATATATATATAGAGAGAGAGAGAGAGAGAGAGAGAGAGAGAGAGATGTTGAAATGAAGAATTAACCTTTGGTGGAGGGGGTGCAGGTGGTTGCTGGTAGAAGAGAGTTTACTTCAACTGTGTGAGTAGTGTGTGGCAGAAGGTGGGGTTCTGGACTTGTTGCTGCCAGAGCAATGTCCTTTTCGAAAGAGCAGAGAATTAGGAACAGAAACACAGAGAAGAAACCCATGAAAAAAACCTGAGGAAAGAGGAGGAGCTAGAAATGAATATAGTTAACGAGCCTAGCTAGCTATTGCCTGTAGCTGCAGATTAAGTTTGAGCATACTATTGGCCTTATATAAACTATTTGGAGGGTTTAATTTTCTACATTTGCTCCATACCATCGTTCTCAACACATTCACACCCCCGCCCTAACCCATTAATTTTTTTTTGCTGTCCGTTCTCTTACGTTAATTATCTTTCACCCGTGAATTCTGTGTTGCCTAAAACCGAAGGAACTACAAGGCAAAAACAAAAAAATATAATGAAAGGAAGAAGGTTCTCTGTCTATATACATACATTATACATACAATATTGTAATTAATGCCAAGTGTACTTGGAGTTTGGAAGGAAGGTACTGCATGCATGCGTTTCTGTTCCTAGTCACGACTACCCATGGGTGAGTCCAAAGTCAATGAGTCAACAGAGTCCATGGTTAAACTGACCAAACAATCAGTTTAACTATATCCGTTCACCAAACTTTGGAATGCTCACTAAATTTGTTCTTTCTTCAGACATTATGGGCTCGGATAGGCTTGATCCAGTACAAAAGCAAATCAAGGGAAAGGTTTACTATTTTGGGTAGGCAATTTGGGTCCAAACTGCTTCAAGCCCAAACCAAACTAGGACATGGTTGTTGTTCAGGTTGTTAAGAACATTTACTCCGTACCCGAAGGCCTAGGTTCATTTCATCATATCCTCTAATATCGCTTGAATACAAAAATAAAAACCATATTGTCTTCCTTTTGCTTTTTAAAACAAAAACAAAAAAATAGTAAATTGAGCTTAGACCCATAAAATTAAAAAAAAAAAATTTTGATGAAACAGGGGGGAAAGAACCCCAAAACCCAAAAGAACAACTACACAACTCGAACCAAATGAGGGTGACCAACTCCTAAAGAGTCATCAATCAAAATGGAACCAAGACAACTAGGTGCCTCATCTAAAAACCAAACACCCAACCCCATATTATAGCTCAAATTAGCAAGGCAATCAGCAGCAAAATTCTTCTCCCGAAAAATATGATGCACCTCCACACAATCCAGTTGAGACAACATCTCTCTACAACAATCCAGTAACCCAGCAAGGGGATGAGCCTCAAGACTTTCCTTGCACTGAATAAGCCTGATAGTAGTGGCTGAATCCATTTCAACCAAAAGTTTCTTTACACCTTTCCCAATTGCTAGTTTAAGGCCAAAGAACAATCCCCAAAGCTCAGCTTCTAAGATCTGGCCCTGCCCCAGATTAACTACAAAACCACCATGCCAATTCCCAACCGAGTCTCGGATCAAACCCCCAGCCCCAATAGCACCTGACATACCCCTTCTAGAGCCATCAACATTCAATTTCAACCAGTTAGAGATAGAAGGTTCCCAGGACAGAACCTGGTGCTCCTTAATTTCCTGGTTTTTAGTCCCACCGAAAGCTTTAAACCACTCAGAAACTGCAGCAACAATAATTTGAATGGGCTACAAAGGTAAAGTATCATCCCCACTAAAAATATGTTGATTTCTCCACTTCCATAAGTACCAGCAAGTAAAAACAAACACATCAATCCAAGGGAAGCAGCCATACCATTTCACTGAAGAACATAGATTGCTCATAAGCCAAGGCTTAAAATCAGCCTCAAAAAACTTACTAAACTGACTAGGAAGGAGAAATTGACTCCAGAGTTCCTTAGCTTTCGAACAATCCCTCAGAATATGTAAAGCATCTTCATTGTACCATCCACAATAACTACAAGAAGAATCAGAAGAAAGCCTCCTTTTAACACGCTGAGCATTAGACATGATTTTCTCCTGATCGACCAACCATAAAAAAAACTGTAGTTTTGGAGGAATTTTAAGTTTCCAAAGAATCTTCCAAAAAGGATCCAACCACTGCTCACCTTGCACCAACAACTCATAAGCAGTCTTGACAGTAAACACTTCATTAGGATTACACTTCCATATCTTAGCATCAGCCCTACCACCACCAAAACCAGCAGGGAAATTGATAATTTGTTGGACCATTTCCTCAGACAAAACTTCTCCGAGCCTCTTTATATCCCACCAGCCATCTTTGAAAAACTGAGACACAGTACAGTCAGGATCAACCATATTGACAACTCTCTCATAAAGAGATAGAGGAGAGCCCAAAATCCAATTATCTTTCCAGAACTTCACAACATCCCCTTTACCAATTCTCCAAATTAAACCCTTGGCTAGGAGTTCAGAACCATATAAAACCCCTCTCCAGGTTGAGGAACAATCTTGCCTAGTATTGTTTGGGCCTAAAAATTGACACACCCAGCCCAGCGAAAATGAAGCCCAAAATCTAAGAAAAGCCCAGCCCAAAACCTGGGCCTCACAGCCCCATTGAGATAGAAAGGAGGAAGCCCAGAAATAGGAAACAACCCCACGTGACATCTCTGGGATGAAGGAAAGTCAACAATGGCAACTGTCATAAGAGAAGTGATTGAAAAGTTTATGCCATCAGGCTGCCTTGAAAAAATAAAAATCCCCCTTACATATACATATATATATATATATATTAAATCAGAGATCTTTTTTTACTCTACAGAGAGGGTAATTCTCCCAAAGAGATAAGCAAGCTACAAGCTCAGAGAGAGATAAGCAGGAAAGTAGGGAGCTGTCCAGAAATAACCATCACGGGTGAAAACTCACAAGGGGCAGTTGAAATTAAGAAGAGAGATTAGGTTCTTTCTTAAGAAAAACAGGGAAGTGATTGCCTATCTGTTGAAAGCCTATCTGCCAAAACTGATAAAATCCTACTTTCTTTCTTTCCATTTTAAAAGAGAAAAAGGGGTTGATATCTTCTGAAAGAGATTTGCCGCCCATTATTAATTTTCACTATAAATACAAAGAGGAGTGAACAGGGTAAAGGACACAAAAAAATTCAGACACAACAAAAACACAACAACAATCAATCCAACACTCAAGTCATCAATCAAACAAACAACTCAAAATCAACCAGAAGCTCACTTGAATTCCAAGTGAAAACCAGCTTTAGATTAGAATTCCCAAGGTTCAGACTTAGAAAATAAGTCATTCAAAACGAGATTTCTCTCGTTACAAATTTGGTTCAGCAAAAAACCAAAACAGGCAGGGTTTGAGTCTCCTCCAAATATGGAAAACCTCAACAAAATTCACAGTGCAGTCTCTAGCCCACTGAAGCCCTCAAAAACAGTCACTCCTGCCCGTGCAGATTGAGAAAACTGCAGTTCTGCCCACTCAAAAGCTTCACAAAAGCATGAGGTACATCAAAGCTCTGCCAGAATCAGCCTTTGGTATCGATTTACAAGTTGAAGCTTAGCAGTCAAGGTTGTCAACGGTCCAGTCCAGCCCAAGCGTCTCCAGTCCAGCCCGGGCATCTCCAGTCCAGTCCAGACCGGAACCTTCTATCTCGACAGAAATAAAGTCCTGGCTGTCTCTTCATCTTTCTCTAGCATAAGTATTCACTGTTATATTTTTGTAAAAGGCAGTTCCGCCTAAAAAACAGTTTAAATCCCATCAACCATTCTGGCCAAGGCAACCTCTTTATACTGAGATAAATTGTTAAAGTCCTCACCAGTCTGAGGCAGGAAAAGAACTTACTTGGGAGATATTCCTCACCCAAATTCACAATCGTTTGTTTGCAGAAATCAGTAACTTGGGACGCAAGTTATCCATTCCAAACTAAGTCTGCTAGAAATTTTGCTGGCAGTGGCATGCTCGCACACCAAAGAAAGCTGACTTGTTAACCAGTTTATGGTTCTCAAGGCAGTGGGGAACTTTGCCCTTCCATCATAGGAGTAAACACAAGAACGGGTGAACACCTAGTTTTCAAATCAACATCCACAATACTCTGCCTTTTTAAATATTTATCTTCAAAAAATTTAACCCAAAACCCCTTATCTTTGGCATGCATCCTCCATCCAATCTTAGCCAAAAGAGCTTGGTTCATATGCTGAGTTTTTTTGAAACCCAGACCTCCTCTACATTTAGGTCTGCATGCTAAATCTCATTGACACAAATGAATCTTATGATTATTCTCTGTGCCTCCCCAGAAAAAATTACAATTGATCCGATCCAAAGCATTACACACACTCATTGGCAACTTGGCAGTTTGCATTGTATACACAGGAATAGAAGACGTAACTGACTGTATCAAGGTAGCTCTACCAGCTAAAGACAAATGCTTGCTTTTCCAAGAAGTAAGACGATTTTGCACTTTGTTAACCAAACCACCATAGGTATCTTTACAGACTTTATTATGCAAAATTGGCATTCCCAAACAATTGCCAAGATTTGCCGTCAAAGGGGAACCACATATACGACTAATATCCTGAGCTAGTACATTCCCAGTATTAGGAGAATAAAAAATAGCTGATTTGTCAAAATTCATAGCCTGCCCAGAGACACTGCAAAACTTCTCTAGACACTCCCTCATAATCTGAGCTTGTTTAGTACTAGCCTCAGCAAATAACACAAAATCATCAACAAAAAATTAGAAACACAAGGCCCAGACTGAGAAGATTTAACACATTTCCATCTCTTTTTGCCCACTTCATCAAAAATAATAAGAGATAACTTCTCAATGCATAGCACAAACAGGTAGGGGGAAAGAGGATCCCCCTGTCTAATACCACTCCTGTTTAATACCATTCTGAGGTCGAAAAACATCAGTCAATTCCCCATTAACACATATTTTGTATTGAACTGAAGAGATACAACTCATAACCAGCTGAATGAAGGCTCTAGGCAGCTTTAATTCCACAAGAAAAAACTCAATGAAATGCCAATTAAGTCTGTCATAAACTTTAGACAAGTCTATCTTCCAAGCCATGAACCCTTTTTTCCCTTTAGAAATCTTAAACTTGTGCATTAACTCTTGAGCTATAATGATATTATCAACAATTTGTCTACCAGGGATGAAACTAACTTGATTAGGACTGATCAAATTAGGAAGAATAACCCTCAATCGAGCAACAAGAATCTTCGAAATCACTTTATAAAAAGTACAACATA